CTGGAGAAAAAACTAATCATGCCTCAAATTATTTCATTCATTTAGAAACCAAACACCGCACTGCAGTTTTATATATATAAAACACTGTTTTTTATTGTTTTTGTTGGGGAAATAGTTTGTTGTCAATTTACAATTACACTAATGTTAATGGGGAAAAGATCAGTCAAGTCAACACTAGTCAAGTGTCCACACAGATATGTAAAAAATAGTCTCATCTCATCAAAGTCTCATCTCAACTTAATATCTGACTCTGTATAACTTGAATATCTGATTCCATGACCACACTAGCACTTCCACGGATTTAAGAGGGGTGAACACAGTTCATTCTGACCTTAAGAGGCTACATATTAAAAATAAATAAATAAATAAAATAATCTAATTTAATGTGAATAATGTTAATCAAGTACTTTTAACATGTGAAAATCCACTTCTAACTTACAGACAAGATTACGTTAGAGAACATGAAAGCCATGGGTGATTTTTCAAAAAAATAATGCTAATGATAAGTTACTGACATTTGGTTCGTATAAAACAAAGTAATCACTAAGCATTCATTTTTGGCAAAATCTGCCGAGAGGTGCAGCGACACGATCAAATGTGTTAAAGTTGAGCAGAGAACTGAAGAGTAGTCAAGCAGTCTACTTCATGAAAAGTTTGTGGTAATATTTTGCGGTCAATTCGTATTACTGTATTTCAATATGCAGTGATGGCATGTCAGTGAGACAAATAAATATTATTACACCTCACGAGTGACATTGCCTCAAATTAAATCATCATGACGTTACTGTGCACAGCATCAGTAAAACGTTAAAAATTATTTAAATACCAAATTTTTTAAAACAGAAATCCTGAATGCATGATAATATGAAGATTTATTACTCACTGATGTCGAAGCACTTCCAGGTCGTCAGAGATGTAGACAGGACAGAATATGTGCCATCAAATGAGCTCTTGTGCAGCCTTTGCTGGACATCAAGGTAGTATGTTCACCCACACTGTAAATAAAAAAAAAATCTGTTATTTTACATGTTTTTTTTTCCCAGCAGCTAGGGTAATAGAGTCATTTGGTTAAGTCAAGTGGTTTAAAATCATTTTATTTATTAAATACTTGCTTACCCATATATAGATGTAAAAGTAACCAAAATAAATAATTTATTAAAATGTGAGAGATACTAAGCATGTTTGGTCTACAGAGAGAAGTAAACATTTACTTTAAGCATTGATCCTAATGAATGTATTTCTGAACTACATCCAACGGACTACATCGCCTCGGAAACAGCATTTTTGAGCATTTAGATCAGGGGTGCTCAACCCTGTTCCTGGAGATCTACCTTTCCGCAGAGCTCACCTGCAACCTTGATCAAACACACCTGTCTTTATATACCAAGTGCTCCTTCAGATACTATTTAGTTTGTTTAGTTGCGTTTGATCAGGGTTGGAGCTAAACTCTGCAGAAAGGTCGATCTCCAGGAACAGGGTTGAGCACCCCTGTTTAAGACAATGAAAAATAAGACATCTAGATGATATTTTATATTCAATCATTTGTTGTGAAATTTAAATGACTTCTATTCAGTATATACATAAAATAAAATTAGAATAAGAACAAAAAAAATAATACTCTATGCCAAATAAAATACTTCAGATCTAAATAAGGCAGGTGTTTTTACCTAAAGGTTCATTTCCTCCAGTTAGTTTAGTTGCAGATCCCTCCACATCTGTGCTTTATTTGGTTCTTGACATAAGAGTATCTGGTGTCACATTCCAGGTCCATCACAATCTGAGCTAGAAAGACAATATGGCAAAAGACAAGACACATATAAATAAGTCTCAGAATAAAATATTTAAAAGGATAGTTTACTTTTCTGCCACCATTACTCCATGTGTTTTAAATCCATTTAAATTTCTGTTGAACACTAAAGCAGATATTTTGAAGAATGTTAGAAACCAGAAACTATTGACATCCATATTTGAACCAAATTTCTTTAAAAAAATATGAGTTTGTGTTCAATGGAACAAAAAAAATCTAACTATTTTGAAACAAGTGGAGGATGTCAAAGATGCCATTATTTTCATTTTTGGGTGAACTGTCCCTTTAATTCAAGTGTCACGCATTACTCATAAAAACTGATCTATTGCTTGAGGAAAACTAAATCAAGTACCTCCTGTGAGCAAGCAGAATCATTATGCCATTGTATCCAGCCAACTGAACCAGCCGAGGCTCGAACCAGCAACCTTCTTGCTGTGAGGTGACAGCACTACCTACTGTGCCACTGCGTCGCTACTAGAAGAAGAAAAAGAGGTTGTACATGAAACTCCTCACAACAAATCTGTGAACAACTTGACATTTCAAAATCTAATCAAAATGAGGAAGACATCAACATTACCTTGAATAATCAAGAGAGGAGAGATTGGTAGCATCAGTTTTTCAACATCAATTGCTGTGGCTGCAAAAAAGATAAATATAATAAGAGTAAAATCATACTTAACATTTAATAATCTAAATCTATGGTACAACCATACAAATCTGTATGGGGTTCAAATAAATTTGTATACAAATCATTCCCTACACCTGAACACCAAAAATAAAATGTACAATTAATGACACACTAACGTTATACAATAAGCTCATTAACCAGTGAGAAATAGACAATTAATATGAATTATGTTAATATTAACGTTAGCTTAAAAGACATAAACTGAAATTTATTATCAGCTCAATTTAATAAAACAGTTAGACTTGTTTCATTAGTGAGTTTAGTGAATAACTAACTTACAGTTTACAAATTTAACCATAATGATAACTTAGTCATAATGACCACATGAAGACCAGAGCTCACCTTAATGTTAAACGTTTAACTTTTCATGGTGACTTTGCCTTCATCTCAGTGTTGTGCTGAAATAGAGAATTCATTAATGCAGTTAACCCCAAGTAAAAGTTACGTTTTTTTCAGGTAACGTTACTATGGTCAAAAACTCACTCAAGATAAACTCACTGTACGTTATCTGATACCTCGCAAACACTACAAACACGGTCTGGCGTCGAATAACGTGACATAAGTACCTACAACTAACGTAACTTGGTTAATTATTTAAAATTACACAAACACTACACGGAAAAATACACAAAACAATCATTTAACGAACAGAATTTGACTTTTAAAAACTTACCGAGGATGAATTCACTGGAGAAAAAGGCGACAGGTGGATTTCAAATTAGGAGAGCCGTTGCTTGCCTGGTGAAGGTCGAATCGAGTCGGCTCGGTTCTATGAATCGGCTCCTTAGAACAGTAAAGAGTCGAATCCGCCTAAAACCGATTCCTTTTTGCATATTATTGTAAGACACAACAATAAATCATTACTATTTCGTTATACTGCTCGGTCACACACATTTATTCACATATTGCTGAATGTGCTTGTGAACACATGTGATAAAATAATTCCCGAGCAAACGGTTCAATCCAATTCGGTGTCGTTTGAGTTCTGAACCGAACCAGTGCAAACGTGATATTGATAAAATAGAAATATTGTTTTTTTTTTTTCACTTTACCAGCGAAAATATTACATATATCTGACTTTAACAATAAGAATAAGGTTCGCTTGAAGTGTTTTGAGAATTAATATTTTTTTTCTCCCAGAGTTCATACACCAACAAGCAAATATAATGGCGGATGAGAAAAGCCAGATCATATCATAAATATTGCGTTTAATATGTTACGAAATGAAGTTTTAACAGTTTTTCATGCGAGAATGTAGTTCTTCCAAACTCAAATCTATGGTTTGTTTTTTAGATATCATGATAACGCTCCATCACTCATGTATCCGGCAAACCTCATGCTTTACTCGGCCTGGACATTATTGAGACATGCCCCTGTCTTCGATGACTAGATAATAAATGTGTTATGATATAAAGTTTTAACCGTTTTTCATGCGAGAATGTAGTTGTTTTAAACTCAAGTCTGTGGTTTATTTATTAAGATAGTGCGTATTTTAAAATATTGTTTTGAAAATGCGGAGATATGTGACCTCTACGGTGGCCCATATGGGTGCCCAATATTCTTGAATCCGTCTAAAGCAGGTTGGTCAAGCTGACTTTGAAATCATTTTGTGTGTTTAACAGTCTTTGGTTACGTGAATCAATTATTTTTGTTCCAATTTACGTTTTGGTTTAGCACAAAGTTATGTTTATTAAATAGTATTTAATATTTTCATGTTACCTTATAAAATGAAGGAGCAGTGCACCCAAAAATGGAAAACCAGGGGACAGTTTAATGCACTGAACAGTCTGAAGAAACTGGTTAGGTTATTTACTTCACATAATAATTTGTCTAAAAATAAATAAACATAATAATCATAATATATATAGTGTGTGTGGAGTTGTTCTTGGTCATTTGCAGTACTGTATTTAGATGCACAGTAACTGATTTTTCCCCAAAATTCATTATAAAATCTACAGTAACATACTGTTAACCATGTTCACAGTATAGAAAAGTTGAAAATACATTATTATACTGTGAAAACAACAATATATACAGTAACACACTGTACACAGCTTATACAGTAAAAAACTGTTGAGAAATGCAGTATAATACTGTGAAAACAACAGAAATCGTTTACAGTGTATATATATATATACATATATATATATATATATATATATATATACATATAATGTAAAACAGTAGATTTAACATTGAATAGTGGCAGTAAATGTTATTATACTAAATGAGAACAGACTCTGCCATTTAATAGCAACATGAACATCACCAGATCTTATTTAGGTTTTTGGCTGGCTTGCCACAACAAAGGAGCTTTTTAAACAAAGTTCTTAACAATTGCAGCAGCCAAGACATATAAATGTTAATAATGACAGGGCTAAGAGCCCAACTAAAGCAAACTCTGTTCTCCATGATGGTGACGTAAAACTTTAACTTTTTCTGAAGAAGAACTTTAGTAGATGTTATACAAAAATACATGTATTAAGTAATAAGTGTAGCTGGTGA